AGAGAGAGAGAGAGAGAAGTGACATTTTAATAAACTGACAAATGAAAAACTCACACATTATGCCACGTAGACTATTGCCAATTAGTCATTTTCACAGTGCACCCAGTCTGCTCCAATTTATTTGGCTGATGTCCACTAAAAAAAAAAGAATCTTGCCTTGTAAAAGTGAGTTACAGCAACTCGGCACACACAGTGTGAAATTACTGGCAGCGAGCGAGGACTGATACAATGGCAAAGCAGGGGGGGGGGGGGGATGGAGACATTTTATATTAATGTAAGCCATTACAAAGTACAACATTGTTTGCATTCATTATGTTCCCTGGTTCCTTTTGAAACTAATCTTTGTCTTCTTTCCATGAATCAGGAAATGTGTCAGGGAGGTTGTGTAACACAAGCATCTGTGACAGAGACAGAAAAAGAGTGTGTGTGAAAGACAAAGAGGGAGAGAGGGAGAGAAGAGGGATAAGACAGAGAGAGAGGGAGACGGAGAGAGAGAAAGAGAGGGAAAGAGAGAGAGAGTTGCAGGAAATGAAAGTGATACAGTGTCTCTATTCATTTCACATCAAAAGAAGAAAAATATAGAAAATTCCTCTTGTCCTACATGAATAATTGATTGTCTTCTTACAGTATGTGACATGGATATACATTCACTTTGTGTGTGTGTGTGTGTGTGTGCATGTGTTTGTTTATATGTCTGTGTACTAACAGATAGAAGCTCCTATTACAAATATAGGTTTAAAGGAAGAGAAGCCACAAAGAAAGCTCAGGAAGAAGGAAATGACCTGTGACCTTAAAGCCAGAATGCTGAGGTACCAGAAAATGAGACAGACTGTAACTCCACCCACCCGTATTCAACCAATCGTATATCATGAAACAGAGGCTTGGTCATGTACATTACAGGCTGTAATGTGATACTACATGATGATTATATGGTAGATTATTACAGCATGGATACTGTATAAAAACCTACGGCTCCAATCTCAGTTTGAAATGTGATATCAGACATGTGTGGGAAATCTGGGTTGGCTGACTGTCCTCTGATTAGTTCTCACATGCTGTCTTAGTTACACTTTTCACCTTCAGTTACTTCAAATATGTTGGGTTTCAACAGGGTAACAGGGCCCCCTGTTCCAGAGGATTTGTGTGATAATTACACTGCACACTGACACCAACTTTATAAGTTGTAAATAATGGCTTTATTAATCTAAATCATTTAGGGATTCTGTATATGTTAGTTAAAAACCATTAAAAAGAAAAACTTTTGTGTTGCTATGTTGTGAAAAATCCCTTTGATTGTTGTTTATCCCTTGTATTTCGTAACAATGCAGTTATAAATATTAGTAATCCATTAATAAATACAAATCTGCAGTTATGCAGTTAATAAGTCTTTATCCAGAAGATGAGAGGCCAGGCAAAGCATCATACTGGAGGAGGTTAAACACCAGCCACAACCTGGCAACCCAAACTTCTTATATCTGTAAAGCATTAGTTTTGATTCGAATTTGATTCGGTAACTAATAATGAAACCTTTATAAATGGTTATTAAAATGCTTATATAGACTACTTTTTTCATAATCCACATTTGACTGATGATGGTCGACCATACATGTACTGTATGTTACCTTAAACGATTTTCTTCTGGAAAAAATGAAATCTGGGATGAAAAAAAATTTCCTGGCAAACACATCCAGTGCACAACTGAATTCAATCAGCTAAAAAACACTGTGACAAATATTCATCAGTATATCGAGAAAAACAAATTAATGCTGAATTCAGGGAAGTTACAACATAGACTCTCCTGTGAGCCAGAAACATCTACGTATGAACTATGACGCTCTGAGTCACTGAACTCAATGCTGCATTAATTCCCAGGCTAAAAGCCATAATATTGCACTGTTAGTCATCCAGTCTGCACACACATTCAGGTCCCTGGTCAAATAAAAAGCAATCAACAACCTCTAGCTCAGGAATGTAGTGACTCATATTTACATGTGTGAAGGCAACATTATTGAAAGTGCTAGGTGTTCATGATTGATGGTATACAGGAGTGTACTGTACTGTAAATGTGTATGTATATTTCTATGTGTATCTGCAAGTGTGAAAGTGTGCCTCTGATCAATCGCACCATGCAGTAATATACAGTAACAGTAAAACTTGCTTCTGTATTATGGCTGACTGGCTGATTGATAGCCAACCTTAAAACCAGGACCATTAAGCTCTATTAGTGAGGGCAGGTTATTGTAATGTGGTGTACAGGGGAGAACATGTTTCTGTAATGTAGCGTGCTTGACAGAGTGCAACATAAGTACAGTACACACATAAGGAACAATGAACTCATGGGGGGGGGTGTATTTAAAGGACGACTACACCTCAAAATATGTTCTTTCTATAATGTTGAATGGTTCAATGTCTCTTTAGTGGAGTAATACTGATATATATGAATGTATTTACATCAAAATGTGCACACATTTTAGGTGAACTTCCAGGAATTCAGAAAAAGAAATTACAAATCAGATAATCAAAATGCCAGTATTGGTTTTATAAGTGGTATTTCAGTTTCTTGTCTATTATAATATCTACTACTACTATAATATGGCATTTATATTACTTTAATTCATTCATTTCTGTCCTTAGTTCACAAAAGTCTTGAAAATTACATTGCCATCCCCCAAATCACAGTTTGGGTTTTGGACAGTACTGTAAACCCCAGGAATACACTTCTGAAGGTGATGTCAGGACCCTTTGTTTCTATTACAACATTTTGTGGAAACATAGATTCCTAATCTGCAACCTTTTTGTCTGTGTTGG